ATAAAATATCTGACAGTATAGAAATGTCTTTCTCTGCATTCATCTGTAAATATATTTGTGTTTGGTGATTTTAATACTTATCATATCTAGTAGCTTCATCGTGATAATACCACTGACCTTGCTGGTATCCAGACTTTCAGTTTTTCAGTTGCTTAATCTCTCAGTCAAATTGTAGCTTTTCCCATTTGTTTTCCTGGTAATTCTGATCAACATACACATTTACTTGATTTGTTTCTGACCTCCTCTCTGGACTCTTGTTGTACTTTTCAACTCTGTACTCTTGGCAATTCAGATCATGTTGTAGTGTAGAGGACCTGGGGGTGAATATGAGAAGAAAACACACGTGTTTATATTTCCTGCTAGATGAAGGTCCATCTACAATAGAATGTTGGGCTTGGATTAAGTCCAACTGAAGATAAAGAAGACAAACAAACAAGACCGATATATATGTAAACAAATATATGTATTAACAACAAATTACAAAGCACATAGACAGTTAACATTGTGTTTGTGTGTGTGAACATTTGTGTGTGTGTGAACATTCATATTTTGGTGAATGTTATTTTGGAGAAGTTCGTAAGTGTTCATATTATGGTGAATGTTTGTAATGTTCATAGCATTTTCACATAAATGGGAAATTCTGATTTTCTAAGAGCTTAGATCTTGTCGTTGAAATGAAGAAGAAAGAGAGATTTACCTCACCTCCACGTGAAGCGGGATTCAGTTCAAGGCCTGAAGGAAAGAAGAGATTGAGGCAAGAAGTCACCCAGTATTTATAGTATAGAGAGAGAGAGACCCCTGGTAAAGAAAAGGGAATTAAGGAGGAGGCAACTCCGACAGTAGTGTCTGTAGATTTTTCTCTTTACTCATCTATAAAGTGTGAAGCACTTATTCACAAGACATTATTTTGTTATCAATTCACTGATTGGGATTTATTTCACATTTTTTTTGTCTCCCTTTGGAGTGAAATCTTTAATTTCCTTATTAAAAATCATGGCACTGAGTTTTCTTCTTGAGAAAAAAGCCAAGATTGATGTTTTCATGCCATCTTGGAAATACCAAATGAAACTGCAATCTTCTCTTTTATTCCTGCCTGTTCATCTGCTATAGACAAAAGAATAATTTTTTCTGGCTATACCATTATGACAGCTTTGACCATGACAGACATCTCTTTGTGGTTGCTTGTAATATGTGTAAGGGAAGAAGACAGCAACTTTGCCTCCATGAGGCTAAGTTGCTGTCTTCTGATAGAGTGAGACACTGTAGTCTTTCATAATTTGGTTCTCATGATTACTGGTGGCTCTGTAAGAGTGTGTTAAACAAGGGTATATCCACAAGCACTCCTCTCTTCAATCAGTTTGAATTATTGTTATTTACTGCTTCTACAGTAGAATGCTTTTCTTATAAATTGTCCTCCAATTCCACTCTCAAGTCTTCAGGGGTATCTTTGCCTGATTTTCCATCTCTAATGGAGTCTCTATTGTATATAACTCTGTCCATGGGTTCTGTTATCATCTGCAAACCAGATCCCCACAAAGCATCTGGACTTGATGGTATCCCTGTATTGGCCCTAAAGAAATGTGCTCCTAAACTGGATCCTAAGCTCTACAGCAAATGCCTTGCTGCTTCTTTGTCCAGTTTGTTAGAAAACCTCTTCTGCAAACCCTGGTTTTAAGAATTTGGGTTAACTATCAACCTATTAGTCTTCTACCTCTTTTTTAGTAAAGTAGTAGAGAGGATAATCAACTGTGAAATTATTAAGCATCTTACTTCACTTGGTCTGCTTTCAAACAAACAATATAACTTCTGTTTCTCTAGCTCAACCACTGGTGTATTAACAGTTATTCCTGAAAGAGTCCATCCAGTTTTAGATGACAATGACAGAGTTTGGGCTGTGGCATTAGATATCTCAAAAACATTTAATAAGGTTTGGCATACTGGTATTCTTCACATGTTGAAAGGGTATAGTGTCTCCAACATAATTTTTGATTTGATCCAATCATTCTTAAAACATTGTGCAATAAATGTCATGTTGAATGGTCACTTTTCAAGATCTTTTCACATTATTGTGGGTGTTCTATCCTTAGATCTACTTAGTTTCTAATCTTCATCAATGACCTTCCAGATGTCACCTGTTCTCAAGTATGTTGATGACACAACTATTTACTTGTATCTTAATACTAAGTCCAATAGGTTTGATAATGTAAAATTGACAGCTGATCTTGAAAATAACTTTCAATCTGATATTAATTGGGGCAAGAACTGGCTTGTAAATTTTAATACCCCCAAGTCATCTTAAAGAGCAATTTTTCATTTTTTCCATCAGCATGTTTTATGCTAATCTCCAGGAGAACAACTTGCTGTATCTTCTCAGTCTCACCATTTTCAAATGGTATGCAGTGGAATGATTATATTGAATCTAATGCTAGGAAAGTTGACTCACTGTGTAGTGCCAGACAATTATTCTCATCAGAATCCACCATGCACATATATGGATCTACCATTCATCTGTGCATTGAATATTACTACCACATCTGATCTGGTGCTTCTGCTATATATCTTGAGATTCTTGACATAATCTAAAGAATGATCTGTAATGATATCAGTCCTGACCTGGCATCTTGACTTGACTGAAGTTGAGGTGCCACGTCAAGACTGATAAGATTCTCATAACTTTTCCACTGCTGTAACATGGCCTCCCTTTGTCTTTTTTAGAAATATTTTCATGGCAGTTATTTTAATGAGCTTTCCTCCTTTGTACCTTGATCTCATGAATTTAAGTGTGTTATTAGATTAGTAATTAGTCTTCATTGTTTTACTGTTGAGAAAGCTAGATGTAATCATAAGTTCTATTCTAATAGTTTCTTTTCTTGCACTTCTTGGCTGTAGAAATCTCTTCTTATTTCTTAATTCCCTGTAATTTGATCTTCAAAAATCATGGAAAGTGCTTGGATGAACTGCATTCCTTGGTTCCATCAGTTTGAAACTTCACTACTAGGACCTGCCATGCCACTCACATAGTGACAAACCACTCTCATTCCCACCATTATCCTATGGTGAGATTTAAGTCCCACTTGAGCAGCTTCTTCCCATGAGCCACTGCTCCGTGGAACTGACTCCCAAGAGGATGTTTCCCTGATCACTACAACCATAACCTGTTCAAGTCTAGGGTTAACTGTTATTTTCCCTACCTATTTGCATAAAATGTCTTTCTTACTCTGTAACCCTATACCTTGAGTGGCCCACGGGCCTTGTACAGGGTGAACTTCACTCTAAAAAAAAAAATCAATTCTCATCTTCTTTCTTACTGAATACTGTTCTTTTATTTTTCTTTCTGTTTGCTAACATTTTCTCATTCTCTTTCACTCTCAGTAACTTCTTGCATCTTAGTGGCATTATCACCTTCCTTGGCATGAAATGATTAAAAACAAATAAATAAAAAATAAACATTTGTGATTCCAATTTCTCAAATATATTTTTATTGGTTAATCCTTTTTATTTTTGTTTATTATCTATTTTCATTTTCTCAAACTTCTTTTTGTAACATTATTAAAATCATTTTTTTTTAATTCTTTGCCAATGATTTTAAGTTCTCTTTTGATTGTTCTCTGAATTCTGTTCAGCATTTTTAAAAATTTCCAATGTTGTGTTCTCATCTCTCTACAATATCTTGTTCTTTTTTGAGGTTATATATTTCTTATGGTCCATTTTAATCTTTATATGTCTGAAATTGAAAAAATAAACATTAATAACTACATGATTATGTACATTTATTTAAAACATGATGAACAACCTTCAGGTTGCATCCCAAAATCTCACACCACCAAAATACATATTGTAGGCTAAAATTGATTTATTATATTTATTGTAGCAATGAATCTTGATAATTTAACCAATATTGTTTTGTTTTGTAGCAATTTTATTGTGAAAATATTGACTTGCAAAATTAAATCTGATATATTTGCATGTTTTGTAGCGATATTATTGTGACAACTTGAAGATTATTTAAAGCAAGAAAAATTTTTTAGATTGTAAGAATTTTATGAAGATTTACTTTCTTCTTTTTATTTTTACTAATGTTCACGCATTACAAATTCCAAGAGCCACTCAAGGTAGATAAGAAAGGGCAAGAAGTAAAGTTCATGAGACTACGTAGGAAAGATAACAGCTAACTCTAGACTTGATGAGGTCAAGATTTAATCAATGATTAACATTTCAGAGTTCAGTTGGAGATGTTAAAAGTATAATGTGGAAGTAGACTTTAGAAAGAACTGGAAGCCCAGTCCTAAACAGGAAACAAGGGATAAACCTCTACTCCTGTTCAAAAGACCAGGGACGAGTGTGAGCTGGATGATCTTTCAGCAATCGCTGATTGAGTATTGATTGCTTCACGTCTACTTTTTTTAAATCAATTCACTCCAAGCAAGGCAATGACACCACTAAGATACAAAGGTCTATGGGAATTGAAACAGAAGGAAATAGACCTTAGAAGGAACTCAAAACCCAATAATAGTATAGATTTCAGAGTTTAGGTGAAGACATTAGAAATATAGAGTTGAATTAGATTTTAGAAGGAACTGGAAACCCAATCCTGAACTAGAAACAAAGGATAAACATCTAATTTTGTTCAAAAGATCAGGGAGGTGTATGAATTGGGTGATAGGTGAGCCTATCTACTCCTATTGGGAGAGAAGAAAAAATAATTAGTAAATAAAATTTCAGAGCTCAGTTAGAGATGTTAGAATTGAAGTAGATTTTAGTAGGAACCAGAAATGGAATCCAAAACAAGAAACAAAAGATAAACCTCCTCTCCTGTTCAAAAGTCCAAGTACAGATACAAGTCCTACTATTTAACACATAGGTGGGGAGAGAAGAGGTGGATCCATAACTTTTCCAATGGTATTTGCATATAAGTGAATATAATAAACCTGACTTGAATTGGAACTCAGTTCTCCGATTTCTAATAGCTGTTATCCATTATACCACCTGCACATCCAACCTTACAGCACCTGGTATTCCCAAGCAGTCATCCATCTAGGTACTGAACAGGCTCAATGTTGCTTAACTTCAGTGATCATATGAGAACTTGTGATTCAACATGATATGAGTGTAAGCTGAAGTTTTTTAGAACATGAGATTGTACACTGATAGCATTCTATTGTATATAATGTGACCCAGGGTTCATGTGGAATAAGAAGTCCTTCAGAGGGGAAAAAGAGGCATGTCATCTTTACAGCATTCTGTGTTTGAAGAGAGTAAGAAGAGAAGGAGTGTTTGTGTCTTTTCCTTTCATATTGTTTTATACAATGCCACTTAGTGAGTTTTAGGAGAAGTCCTCTGACAGAGAGCAGGGTGGGGTGTTAGCCTACATATAGCTTTATAAAAATGTGTTTGTTTGTGCACAAATACAGGGGTGAGAGAAGTATGCATTCATATATACATAATGTAAATCAACATTCATAATTATGCGTATCAAATGTACTTTATCAAATTCAGGTAGCCATAATTTATCTTGGATATAGTCGATATAAATTCAAGACAAGCATTTACTTTAAAAAAAAGATTACATGTTAATTCTGCACCTGCAAAAGAACACATGGCATTAATTATATCTTTCCTGCTTAGATTCTCTTCTTACTTTATCTGCATTTAAATTAAAATATGTACAAGAAAGAAAACGGAGAACATTTCATCAAGCTAGCATCTCATTACTCGATATCATAAGATTTCTAAAAAAAAAAATAAAAAAAAAAAAAATGAACAAAACAAATCTTTAAAAAAATAAAATATAAACAAAAACAATAACTAAAAAACCACTGAAAAACCCCAAAACAGCCATCTCAAGGCTTTGTCCAATGAAATCAAAATTTTCAAATATGGGAAAAATGTTCTGAGAAATGTAAATATGCATGTCAAGCAATTTACATATTCATGAATAGCATCGTTAAAAGTTGCAAACTTCTTTTCTTGTTTAATTACTGAGAGCAATGACAAGTAAAGGCAATTACTTGCAAATTAGGGAAGAGTATTGTCAAAGAACACATTTTATTTTTGTTTTGTAAATTTTAAAGATCTTGGAATCTTTTGGTCTGTCTGCAGGCTTTAAATCTTTTAGGCTATGTCTGACTTTGTTAAATTCCTTCTCTCATATTGGAAGCATTCTCAGACATTACTTGCTGCTTTTTGTGTATACGTAACCTTTAAAACACAGTGTGGTTGTTTGGAAATTTTACATGTAAAAAATACTAACATATTCATATGAAGTCTTTTTAACAGAGTTACCAGAAGTTAGGGTGAGGATATAGTGTCATGACAGCTTCCAAGGTCAAGAAGCTCAATTTCCCTAGATAATATTAGGATGTATAAAAAGTATCTTTGCTATTTAATCAACGGGGAACCTCTTGAGAGCTCCTGTATGTTTTTTTGAAGTTAATGTAATACTTTTCATATGGCACTTTTTGATCTTCCTAACTCTTTTGAAAGCTCTTGTGTACTGATGGTCGAATTCTTTTCTTTGTTGCATTTTAAAACTTCATAACTGACAGCTGATAGTTGTCCACTTTAGGGATTTATTTCAAAGGACAAGTCACCATCCTCAAAGTGTTTGAAGTAATTTTGAGTACTACAGGCAGATATTTAATTTTCCTTCACCTCCTGAATACTCGAGCAGCTTCGGTGGCTTTGAGGCCTCAAGATTTTCAGAATCTCAATATTTGTATCTACCATTATAAGTAAAAGAAAAGGCCCAGCTGAATAATAATAATAATAGTAAGAAGAAGAAGAAGAAGAAGAAGAAGAAGGAGAGGAGTATGTGCTTTTTTATTGATACAGCAATCTCTGCAGGTTGTAATGTATCTTTGAAGATCTACAAAAAATACTATCAAATTACAAGAAGTAGAAATCTCAAAAATGAGGTACATGAGAACATCAATAATTCCAGTTGTAGTTGGAGCTCTTGGATTGATTGGAAAATGTTCTGATAGACTCATTGAAGGGATTCCTGGTAGCTGATGCCTTAAAGAAATACAAAGAAATTGTACTAACAAGTATGGCTCACACATTATGAAGAGTTTTACCTATGTAAAATGACTGTGATCTTAGGTTTTTTTAACAAAAAAAAAAAAAAAATAAAATAAAATAAATAAAATAAATGAATAATGAGTGGAAAATGTCTTGAAGCCATTTCTGACCTTAGGTTTCTGGTTGGGACCTGGATGGAAATATGTATACAACAGAAATCAAAGGAAAAAAAAATAATAATATTGTATATCAAGTTTCTGGTTCATTGATTGATTTGTTTTTTACACTTTATCAATCTTTTGCAGGTTATTTAAAGCCAGAAAACATTTCTAGATTGTAAGAATTTTGGGTGGGGAGAGTAATGTTTTATGGATACAAGTCCTTCTAATTAACCCATAGATGTGGGGAGAAGAGGTAGATTATAACCTTTTCCAAGGCTATTTAAAGCCAGAAAATATTTTTGGATTGTAAGAATTTTTTTTGGAGATAATGATAAATTACTGATATAAGTCCTACTATTTAACCCATAGCTGGAAACTCTTTACCTACAGAGTTTCTGTGTTACTTACTTAAATAATATTATTAGATTTGTCCCACTTTCATCAGTGGGTTCTTTATTTTTTATTGGCCAATAAGAAGAATTTGTGATGTTAGTCTGGAAACTGCCTATGAATGCTGTCCTTTTCAATAAACTTTTTAGATAGAACCTCTGACTAAAGCAACCATCTAATATCCTCTGCTCTTGGAGAATTCTTTTGGAACGATATTCATAATGAATAATTGCCTTCATGACATTACAAAAAGATGATCCACTGATTAATTCTACAACAGGGTCAGGTCAGTTCACCAATGATTTGAACCTGATTCAGAGAGGAAGCGAAATAACTTGAGGAATTTTGATGAGGGTGATGACTTGAACTGATTCTGGTATTGATTATAAGGGTGGTGATAATGTTGGCAGAGATGACAAAGAAAATGATTGTAGCAGTGATAGTTGGGTGATGATGACAGTAATATTAAGATATTTGTGATGAAAAGGATATTGATGTACTTAGAATATGAAATGAAATAATGTTAACGGTAGTGTTAGTATTAATGATAATATCTTACTGGCAGAGTGTGACTAAAAGAGTTTTGACATCTTTGAAAAACATAAAATACACTAATTTTGTTCTCTGAAATTCCGAGAGGAAGAATTATCATTGAAGTAGTGCAATTATCATGAAATAGTCCAATTGTGGTTGCTCATATTAATCAGAATTGATTTTCTAAATTGTAATGATAATTTAATAATGACATATTGTTGACTACACTGAGGAAGTGTGCAAGTTTCCTTTTTTTAAATCATTTTACCTGAGTTAATAATGCCACTAAGATGCAAGGAGATACTAAGAGTGAAATGGAATGAGAAAATGTTAGTGAAGGGAAAGTAAAATAAAAGAACAGGATTTTGGAAAACAGAATATGACAATTAATGTTGCATTTATATTTTTGAAGATCATATATGACAGTGAAGCAAGAAATCAGAAGAGAGTTCTACAGGAGAGAAGTGTGAGAAAAGAAACTATTACAATAGAACTTGTGGTTATATCTAGCCAATTCAACAGTAAAAAGATGAGACCTAGTTGCTAATTTAGTACTTAAATCCATACAGTCAAGGTTTTCTTCTTTTGCCCTTAACCCGAGAAGGAGTGTTTGGTTTCTTGGTGTGCTCATCATGGTGTATCTTGAGTGTTTTAACATGGTGGAGCCGATCTCTCTCTAGGTTAGACCACAGCTGATGTCCTCCAACTAAGAGGCTCGAATTGGTTATGAGCATGTGGTTGTTGTAGTTCATTTGAGGAACCCTTCTGCCATAGGCTGTGACCTGCATCGAGGTGGTCCTTCACCCAGCGGTGCTGTATTAACACCACTCTTTCACATGAGTTTAGTCCACCAGCTGAAACAGTTTACTGGGGTATGGCAATTTGGAGCCATCATGTGAGAGATTTAGGAGATGGTTGAGGACCAGTGTTGTCCATTTACCTGAAGATGCAATGTGCCAGACATCAAAGGTACTACCTCCATCCAGAGCCCCCTATGCCCACAAAGTATCAAGGAGGAAAGCTCATTGCAACAATTGCTATGAAAATATTTATAGAAAAGACAAAGGGAAGCCATGTCACAGTGATGAGAAAGTGACTGAAGTCTAGATATCAGATAAGGACTGATAACTTTACATATTCTTCTTTGGATTTATTTTAAAATATCGCAGGAGCACCACATCAGATTGTAAAGTTTAGAGAGAACAGGAGCCAGTTTAGGAGCACATTTCCTTAGAAACACTTGCAGGAATACTATCAAGTCCATATGCCTTATGGAGATCTAGTTTGGAAATGATAGCAAAAACCATGGAAGAAGTTATATGCATATCACTTGATAGTAATTCTGTCCTAGGTGAAAAATCAGGCAAAGATACACCTGATGAGCCAAAAGTGAAGTTGGGAGAGAATGTGTGAGACATGCATTCTGTTTTATCAGCTGTAGATGACAACATTTCAAACTGTATGGTGGGATTGAGTATTTATATTTGTTTTACACACTCTTACACAGCCGCCAGTAATCATGAGAACCAGACTCAGAGAGTTTATGTAATGTCTCACATTGTCAGCAAGCAGTGTCTTAGTCACATTGAAGACAATCTTATAGTTATTATAAGTGGATGCAAAGATATGTTTTTTCAGATCTGAGCTATTATGTTGGTATATCTGGAAGTGATTCCTGTGGTCTATAGTGGCTGAGCAAGTAGGAGGGAACCAATTTCTTAAAAGAAATTTCTTCTAGTTAAGTAGTATAAGATGTAACTAATTGCTGTTATAAAATATCAATAGTAATAGTAATTGTAATATTAACCATTTCCTTATAAGTAAACATTCAGCATTCATTGACCAAGCAGCAATTGCTACATTTGGTTGAAATTAATAAAAACTATTTCACATGAGAATAGGTTTCTCAAATCCAGTAACTATTGTTGCTCTTTCTAGCATTGATAGATGTTCCATTTCTAACATTTTACTTGAAGTAATGTTGATTGTCAGCGTCTTGATTATGT